TGCCCCCCGTCGCGCACTCTGCGATTCAATGCAGAATGGGCCAAGGTAGCCGCGCGAGCGGCGGGCCTGCCCCCGCGCGCGATTCTTTCTCCGGGCGGAGCCTGGGCCAGGGCGGCACTGCGCGCGGTGGCCCTGCCCTGCGCCCCGCGGCTCTCCAGTGGGCCAGGCCAAGGTTGCCGCGCGCGCGCGGCGGCCCTCGCCGCCCGTCCCCCCCGCGCACGGCATTGCATATGCAGAGCCGGTCAAGGCCACCGCGCGCGCAGCGGCCCTGTCCCCCCCCCCGGGGGAGCGCTCGTCACTTCATATGTGGCCAGGGCAAGCTCCCGCAGCAGAGACCCCCGCGCTTCGCGCGATGGCCGCCGCGGGCGCAGTGGCTTTCGCCGTCGCGCGCGGTTTTCCCCTTCGCGGTCAGAATGGCGAAGGGGCCGCCTCGCGCGTGGCCATGCGCGCGCGGAATTTTCTTATTCGAGATGGCCGAGGGGGCGCCGCGCGCTCGGCGGTCCCGCGGCTTCGCGCATGGCGTTTGCGCTGTTAGTGTTCAACATGATATGATGCTGCAGCTGTCGCCGCGCGCCTTGTTCCTGCCCCCTCGCGCATGGCGCTGCTCACTAGCAGGACGCCCCCCGCTCCGAGCCGCGCCCTGCCCCCTCGCGCGCTGTGGCCCCGCCCCTTGGTGCCAGATTGTTCGCGCAGAGAGGGCCGGGGCCGCCGCGCGCGCTGTCCCGCGCAGAGCGCGCCAGGGCCGCCGCGCGCGGCCGCCGCGCCTGCTCGGACATGGCGCTCCCGCGACCGTGCCCATGCAGAGCGGGCCCGTTGACTCGGGCGCTGTGTTCTCCTACGCCGAGGTGGCCAGGGTCGCTGCGCGCGCAGTGGCCTTGCGCCCGCGAGCGTGGCGGTCTGTTCAGGCAGAGTGGGCCGGGGCCGACGCGCGCGCGGCAGATCTGCGCCCCTGCGGACGTAACTGTTCATTCAGGATTGGCCACGGGCGCCGCGCGCGCGGCAGCTCTGCCCCCTTGCCGCGCGTTGCGTTTTCTTCGCGCGCATCGACCAGAGCCGCCGCGCGCGCGACCGCCGCGCGCCCGCGATGTTTTCAACGCAGCACGGGCCAGGCCTGCCGCGCGAGCGGCGGCCCCGCCCCTGCGCGCATTGGATTGCATTGCCGTGCAGAATTGGCAAGAGCCACCGCGAGCGCGGCGGCGCAGCTTTCTGACGCGCTGCCGTGCTTTTAAACCGAGAATTGGCTGGGGCTGTCGCGCGGGCGGCGGCTATGCCCGTTCGCGCGTGCGGGTGTTCTAGTCGGGAAGGAGCAGGTCCGCTGGCCTTGTCAGCCCCCTCGCGCACAGCGCTGGCCCGTCCAGAATGGGCCAGGGCTGCCGCGCGAGCGACTGCCTTGCCCTCTCTTCTCTTCCCCCCCCGCCCTGCCCCATTGCGAGCGCGCTCGCTGGCCGCCGCCGCGGCGACACCGCCCCCCGCGCATTGGGCGCGTCGGCCTCGCCCCTGCGCCATTTGGTTTGCTTTGTTGGGCTTGGCCAGGGCGCCGCGCGAGCGGCTTCCCTGGCCCCCCCGCGCGCGTTGCCGCATCCTGTTCGCATGGGCAAGGGCCGCCATGGCGGCGGCCCAGGCCCCTCGCGCGCGGCGCCATTTCCTCCGCGATTCGTCTGAGCCGCCCCACGCGCGGCGTTCCCGCCCCGCCGCGCGCTGTTTCTTGTCGCGCAGAATTGGGCAGCCTCCGCCCCACTCCGCGCACATGTGTTATTCCCCGCGCGCGGTGGGCGGAGGCTTCCGAGCCCGCGGCTGCCTCGGCGCGTCGCGCATTTTATGTCGACGCGCCGAATCGGCGAAGGCCGTCGCGCGCGCTGCGCCCCGCCCCCTCGCGCATTGGTTCTCTCCCCCGCGCGGCCTCGGCCAGTGCCGCAGCGCGCGCGGCGGCCCGCCAGGTCCCTTATCCATTGCGCATGCGGCCCAGGGCCATTGCGGCGGCCAGCGAGTCCGCTTCGCAAGCGCGCAGCAGGGGGCAAGGGGGCCGCCGCTCGCACCCCGCCCCTCCCGCGCCCCGTCCCTGGACGCTGGTGCGTGCATTTTCGTTTCACTCGAGCAACTTAGTTTTGCTCTCCAGGGCCTCCCATCGTATTGTTATGTGTTCTCTCTGGGCCCTTTTGCAGGATCTGCATCTTTCCCACTGGCTCTCCCGCAGAACTCTTGCCTGCTCTCCTTCGCCAACCGAGTGTTCATTATTTCGATTTCGTTGACCCCGCCCCGAATCCGTACAGTTCCTGCGTGCGTGGGCGTGGCGCAGAATCCCCATCCTATCTACCAGTGCCCACGGCAAAACTTCGCACTGCTTCGCCGAAGGGGCTAGTGCTCTGCGACGCGGGAAGTGCCGTCAAAGCAGCTCCTGGCGTCGCGGCAAAGTGCTTGCCGAGGCAAGCGCGCCGCGCAATTTGATTTGAGATCTGCCTTCAAACTGCCTCGCGCGGACAGCAGGGCCCCCTTGCTCGCGGGAAAGATGCCGACCCCCCTGGACTTACAATTTGTATTGTTTTTTTTAAAAGGGATGGTGGGGGGGCGGCCGCATTGACCCTGGTTGGCTTCCAGTCGCCTGGGGGAGGGGGTGTATAATTATATTAATATGGAACAGTGGTAAACCCATCCCCGAAGGGGAAGAGGGAGGGGTGGAAGAAGAAGCGCCCTAAACAACCTTACGCCCTGAAGGGTTGGTGGGAATCCGCGCCTGGGCTGTACATTCCACCCCGCGGGGTTGTGCATCCCATCCGCTGCGGGGACCATGGCTTTCACTCCCTCAAATTCATGTCGCGCCCAAGGCCCGCGTTTCCCACCCAGCGCGGGTCTGTGCGTTCCGCCTTCGGCTGGCAGCGATTGACGACTTGAGAAGTCTTCCGTTCTGCCCGCGCAGGTCTCAGCAGCCATTCGTGGTGACGTGTTTGCCACGTTGCGTTTGGTTTTTTCGCGGTTGCTTGTTTCGCGTATTTTTGGTTGTGTGTTGTTTTGTTTGTTCCGCTCCTGTGCCTGCACGACTCCAGCTCACCAGTTCACCACTCAGGAAGGAAACGGGACGTTCGCGTTCCTCCGCCTTGGTGGGCCTCGAGGGGGCAGCCCTCATCGCCCCCCGACGCTTCCGCTTCGAAATCCTGGTCAAAATGCGTTCTTGATGTCGGCTTTGATGGAGGAGGAGTGCGGCTGATGTTGTTGCTGTCGTTCCTGTTGATGCTGATGATTTTGATGGTGGTGAGGATGATGGTGATGATGCTAATGCTGATGATGATGGTGCGGATGCTGATAATGATGATGATAATAATGATGATGATGATGATGATGATGGTGGCGAGGCAGAGGATGTGGATGATGAGGGTGGTGATGATGTTGATGATGAAGATGATGATGAAGACGATAATGAAGATAATGATGATTATGATGGTGATGATGATGGGGGGAGGAGGATGTTGATGATGCTGATGTTGATGATGAAGACGCTGAGGATTATGATGATGATGGTGATGATGACGAGGAGGGGGAAGAGGAGGAGGAGGATGAGGATGCATATGGTGATGTCGGAAGTGATGATGATGGCGATGTCGATGCTGATGATGATGATGTTGCTGATGATGGTGATGACGAGGATGGTGATGATGATGCTGATGATGATGATGATGATGACGAAAGTGATGATGTCGATGCAAGAGAGAGAGGACGAGGACGAGGAAGAGAATGCCGATGACGACGACGTTGACGATGGTGATTATGATGATGGTGATGATGCTAATGATGATGATGATGATTGGTGATGGTGATGCTGAAACTGCTCATGCTGATGATGATGATGATGAGGGGAGGATGAGGATGAGGATGATGATGTGGATGAGGATGAGGCGGATGATGAGGATGAGGATGCTGATAAGGATAAGGACGATGATGAGGATGCTAAGCTTGATGATGATGATGATGAGGCTGAGGATGTGGCTGCGGATGTGGATGGTGGATGATGATGGTGGTGATGATGAGGATGATGATGGAATGAGGATGAGGATGAGGAGCAGGATGATGTTGATGATGATGATGATGATGAGGATGAGGATGAGGATGAGGATGAGGATGAGGATGGGTATGCTGCTGAATATGATGATGCTGCTGAGGATGATGCCGATGTTGATGCTGATACTGATGAAGATGACAATGCTGATAATCATGTGGATGATGATGCTGATGATGATTATGATGGTGATGGTGGTGCCGATGATGATGATGTGGGCAGGGATGATGATGATGATGATGATGATGATGATGATGATGATGATGATGGCGATGCCGGTGGCGGTGGCTGTGGTGATGATGATTAAGATGACGACGACTATGATGATGAGTATGATGATGAGGAGGAGGAGGAGGATGAGGGTGAGGATGACGATGATGATGATGATGCTGGTGGTGTTGGTGTTGGTGGTGATGATGGTCGTGATGATGATGGCGATGATGATGATGGTGATGATGATGATGATGATGATGATGATAATGAGGATGCTGATGATGCTGATGCTGATGCTGATGATGATGCTGCTGATGATGATGACGATGATGACGATGATGATGATGATGATGATGATGATGATGATGATGATGATGATGATGATGATGATGATGATGATGATGATGATGATGATGATGATGATGATGATGATGATGATGAGGAGGAGGAGGAGAAGGAGGAGGAGGAGGAGGAGGATCAATAGGTGAAAGTTTCAGTGCCGCCCCAGATCCTGACCTCTGGAGACCTCGGGAGGTTTTCGAAGGTTCGCAAAGGGCAGGAGTCGCATCAACAATCTCAGCCCGCGGTTTTCGGTCTCCGCGGGCAGCTGAGGGTCTCCCGGAATCCAGGGAGTGAAGGAGGAGGGTCTTGAGGGAGGGGGAGTCTCCCCGACCCCGAGAACCCGTGACCCCTTCGCACGCGCTCCCCTCCCTTGCTCTGGCCGCCGGCCCCCCCTCAGAAGTGGTCCACAGCGAGCCCGCCGCGGACTCGGGGGCTGCGACATCGCGAGCCTCCCCGGCGAGCCCAGCGCGGACTCGCTCGTCCCACGGCGGCGGCTCGGCGCGTGAAGGCGCCAGGGGGGGGGAGGGGGAAGGGGAGAAGGACGGAGACTTCAGGAGTTGTGCTCCTCTTCTTTGGGTGGGGGTCTCCGGCGGCCTCGGGAGGCTTCCATGGAGACCCCCGCGGGGGCCCTGAGGGTGACCTCCAGGGACCCCTGGATCGAGCAGGAGATCGACTGCAGAATTGAATTACAGTCAGCCCGCACAGTAAGGATAAGCGACTTCCCAAGGTAATCTTTGCCTCGCTCCCCTTCGGCCCATCCTCGGCCGCTCTCGCTGGCCGCGCCCCGCTCGCAAGGTGTCGACATGACCCTCCAAGGCCCTTGTATCCTTATCGTGCGTCCTTGTTTTACGGGTTGACTGTACACCCCGTCGAATCTACAACAAGTGCGGATAATGTTCGTAGATCTATTGAGATTTGAGGCATTTTTGGCAGATTTGACGGACGAATCAATGCCGGGGTAAATTCATTCTGTAGTCGATCCCCTACCTACTCGATTAGAGGGAGGGGAGGAGAGACGAAGAACTGGCCCCCCCCAGCCGGCTCCTCCGACAGCCCAACCTCCACCGTCCATCGCGGAGCCGCCTTTGGGCCACGGCTCGGTGCACAGCTGCGCCGCCACCTGGCTCGGCCAGACCCGGTGGAGGCCCTGCAGGAGTTGGTCGGGGCTTAAGGGTCAATGCAAGCGGGGGTCAGCCAGGGCGCCTGATATTGCAGGATCCTGCAGAGCCAGGGGCGCATTGACCCGGGCTTTGGCGCCTGACCTTGCAGGATCCTGCAGGAAAGCTCGGCTGACGCTGGCTAGCATTGACCCAGGTCAGTGCGTCCCCGAGCTGTGCGGGCTATCGGCTAGCGCCATGAGCTTCGAAGCTCGAAGCCGCGGACGGTGTCAAGCGATCGCCCTGATGCCCTCGAACTTTCCCACCCACTGGTCGGTGGGAGGGGCAAAAGGAAGAGCAAGAGGTAATGAGAGAGAACAGGAACGACAATGGCAATGACGGTAGTGCACCGCGCGTGCAGGCGCCACCAGCTCCGCTCTGAGCCTCCCCCTCCTCTTCGCGGCCGTGCCTCGTCGCTGAGTCGCGACACGCGGTGCAAGGGAGGGGGCAACGCACAGGATCAGCGAGATGCGTGATACAAGGCGCAGCCTCGGGGGCATCCAGAGGGGGCTCCGGCACGGTCGGGTCCGATCTCAACGCTATTCGTGTGTGTGTGTGTGTGTGTGTGTGTGTGTGTGTGTGTGTGTGTGTGTGTGTGTGTGTGTGTGTGTGTGTGTGTGTGTGTGTGTGTGTGTGTGTGTGTGTGTGTGTGTGTGTGTGTGTGTGTGTGTGTGTGCGTGTGTGTGTGTGTGTGTGTGTGTGTGTGTGTGTGTGTGCGGGGAAGGCCATGAGTTATGACGCCGACGAGGGGGAGACAATTGAGGATGGATAGGAGGAGAAGTGGGAGATGGAGAAATAAGAGGACGTCGACGAGTACGACACAAAGGAGGAACAGGACATGGGCGTGGAGGAGGAGGAGGAGGAGGAGACCCAGGAGATTGCAGCTGTCGGTCTTGGTCGGGAGTGGTCTTGGGGCGGCCTGAAAAGGATCACGAAGAGAAAGACGAGGGGGAGGGACAGAGGAGAGAAAACAGTCGAGCAACAAGAGTAGGATGAGGAGGGATGGGCAGACGGGTGCTGGAGTCCTGTCTGTTTGAGGACAGTTGGCCCACACACACATACTTGGTCAATGATCAGTTCCCGCCATTGCTAATCACGCGTGCAAGGGATGAATAGAGATCGTGAAGGGGCCGTTCCAGAAATGGTTTCGCCTTCGAGGGATCAAGAATTTGGCATCTCTTCTTCGGTGGAAGACTGGTGGGAGTCTGCGGAAGCAACAACATACTCCCCACAAGCAGAAAGGGGAGAGTGGTTGTTCTTTCAATTCCTGTTTGGTTCTGTGAGAATGAACGAACGTAGTGATCGCTGTGGCGGCCATCAGGACGACGGCAGGGGCGGCGATGGCCATCGCGAAGATGGCGTTGCTGGTGGGGATTTTCGACGCAGACGGTGGTGAAGGCCCAGATTGCGTCGAGCATGAATTTCTCACGGAGCGCGTTGCGCTCCAAGGTTCAAGATTGACTGAGCAAGGAGCGAGGCGGTCACCCACCTTTGTTCTTGCGCAAACGCAATGAATTGGTGCGCGCTCGCGGATCACATGTTTCCACGTCGCTGCCAACGTGCGCTGTGCGATGCTTCGAGCGACCGCAGAAATTTTGAGAGACCCCGCAGGGACCTGGGCAGAGCCCAGATGGACTGCGAAGGCAAAGCCAATATTGCAACGCTTGATTTGCGGGGACGCGTGCCAAGAAACGCGTGAAACCTGGAGTACATTACACCAGAGGAAAACCCCAATCGGTGGATGTTTTTCGCTGAGGAGATCGACCGGGAACCCGCGAGCCGGGGAACCCAGAACCCACCGAAGTCGGCCCGAAACCAATAATCAGGAACCCAGGAACCCAGAACCGGGAACCCAGGAACCCAGCTTGCTACCAAAATCGGCGGGAAATTTTCGCCAAGTCTTTCAACTCCCGCTAGGACCCCTTCCCTGCAAGCACTGATTGGGGAACCTCGAGAAAACGGCCGAACATCGCGTTGGAGGCGGCTTGTTTTTGACGAAGGCTTACGCGAAATTTGCATTGCTGAGCGCATGCCCGCATCACCGTGCCACAGGCGGGTAGGCCGCCCCTACCTGGGGGCCTGCGACCCCGACCGGCGGGCCCACGCGGCATCCAAGAATTTTCAGCGGGTAGCTCGCCCCTATCGTTCCGTCATCGTTGTCGCCGACAGCCGTCCACTAGCTGTTACTTCTGCCCATCAGGTCCGCTATTCCCAATTCCTCACTCAGACTCATCCCCGTCGCCACCGCCCTCCGGTGCGTTCGGCTTTCCTGCCGAGGGTTTGGAACCCTTGAAGCCCCGTGCCTTACCCTGTCTGACGAGATATCAGATATCAACTTTCGAAAATGAGACCAGGTGGCTCGTGCTCGGCGGCGTGGGTGCCAATCGCAACGGCTATCGCATTCGTGTTTGAGGTTGGTTTCTACCCCAGGGACCTCGGTCGGCTTGCGTAGGATCGAGATCCAGGTACTTTGATGAACGGGCCGTGTCTCCGCATAGGCACGCCTGCCATTTCAACTCATGCCACGATATCTCATCCCGCATCACCCCATATCAGTTGATGGCATTTCGTCTCGTGCTCTATCATATTCTACCTTGTTGAACGACCCCATTACATGTCATGCTATGATATCGAAGACGCCTAGGGCCTACGGCGAAGCACAGCCGCTCTTGCCTTTGGGAGACGTCTATGTGGCCAAGCGTTGTGCCGTAGCTTGGCCAAGCTATTGGGCTGTGTGCTCTCCCAGCCTATGCGGGCATCATTGGGGGAAACACTTGGGTCAGAAAGGGAAAGCAGAGGAGGAGGAGGAGGAGGAGGAGGAAGAGAAATGGCTGAGAAATGGAGGGGACGGAGGACAGGGAGGATACTGAGGATGAGGATGAAGCTTCTCGGGGGCCTCTTGGGCTCTTTTGGAGCCCCCTGGGGGCCTCTTGGGGTTCTCTGAGGGGCCTCTTGGGCCTCTTTCGGGCCTCTTGGGCCAGTCCGCTTGGGGGCCTCTTGGGCCGTCCCAGGGCTCTCTTGGCCAATCTGACGCCTTCGTTGGCCGTCTTGGGGGCTATCTGGCCGTCTTGGGGAGCCATGAGGCAGTCTATAATGTCGCGCGGGCCCTGTTGGGACCCTCTTCGGTCCTTCCGTCCCTTGGAGCCTTCTTGGAGGCCTCGGCCGTCTTCGGGTGTCGAAAGCCCGATAACGCGAGAACGCAACACATTTACACTTACCGTCAGAAAATCAGTGATGCTGGCCTCTTCGGGCTCTCCTACGTGGACCTCTTGGAGCCCTCGTGGGGGCCTCGTGGGTTGAGGCCTCCTTGGGCCGCTTCGGGGCAATATTGGGCCATGCTGGGGCTCTTGGCTCACTTGGAGCTCATCTTGGATCGTCTTGAGGCAATATTCTTCTTCTTGGAAGCATGTTGGGGCCATCCTGGACGGAACAGCTCACAGGAGGTCCATTTTCCGATAGGCCGTTGGGAATGTGTTTTTGTCGGAAGGCTTCAAATGGTTCTCGTGTGAAGCATTCAAGAATAGGTTTCGCTTTCGAGAATTGAAGGAATTGATATTTCTTATTCGGCGGACGGGCGGCAGAAGGCGGAGGACGTGAAACGAGGCCGCCCCCGCCAGCGGAAGTTGGGACATTGGCGGAAGGCTGGCGGTAGTTGGCGGAAATAAAAGTCGGCTTCCCAAGAGATGCCCAGGTTTTATGGTTCAGGGTTTTGTGAACCCGCCACGTGGCACGCCAAGCAGCCTTCTGCAAGCGACAGCGGGCGGCGGATCCAGTGGCATTCGGGTCATCCAGCCACCGCGCCCGGGTTATGGACCAGAAGCCCATTGAGGGCCTCGTAGGGTCTCTTGGGAGTCCTCTCGGGTGCCTCTTGGAGGCTTCCTGGGCGCCTCTGTGTGGCTCCCTGGAGTGATCTTGGGGATCTCATGGGGGCCGCTTGGGGTTTTCTAAGGACATCTCAGGTGTTTGTTTTGGGGCAGGGCAGCTACAATATCCAACCTTGAGGATTTGAAGGGCCTCAGGACCTTCCACTCAGTGCCTACTGCGCGTTGGCAGATCATACGTGAAATCGTTTCATCGTCCGATCTCCCCTGATCCTCCCATCCGATCGCTCGTCTCCTATGCCATCTCATCCCATCCTAACGCTCCTGATCCTCCCTTCTGCTGCTTGTGGCTCCAGCAAGGCCTTGTTTAGCAGGGCGAGTGTGACGGTCGGTACATCGTCAAACTAGGTAGTATTGTCTCGGAGTCACTGTTTCATTCTCTTAATGCTATGTTTCCTCCCTCTTTCCTGATCCGTCCTCCTCTTTGCTTCGCCTGCTCCCTGGCCCTCGGAGCTTGCCAGACTTTTTCCCCTCACCTATTCCTCATTATTGTCCCCCCCACCTCTTCGTCCCTCGTGGTCGTGGTCGATATCGGCGTCGGCGGGGAACCCACTCAAGATCAGTCCCCAGGCCCCGCCCAGGGCCCATTCTCAGCGGGACTCCGAGGAGAGGTATCCGCCCGGCGGCAACGAGAAGCCTCCCGGTGGGTCAAGAAAGTTGAGGAAAGGCCAACATCGATTGAGGCGCGTGGATTAGCGGCGGGTCTCGCTTCCATGCGAATCGACACTCCGTCGCCGAGCGAGGCGGCACTTCATGTTTCGGGGGAGGGGGGGCTCCTTCCGATGCGTGGATTTGGCGCCAGCGCGCTAAAGCCACGAATCCGTAATCGAGGCCGGCGTGCGCCCGAAACGCCCAGGAGCAGAGAGGCCCAGGGAACGCTCGAAGGCCTCGGCCGATCGGTCTGCCGTTCGTCTTTCGTCGGCCGTTCCCGTGGGCGGAAAGCAATATCCGTATCCACGGTCTTGCAGGCCAGGTCCCTGAGCCGTGACCCCGCGGATAGGTGGCGTTTCTTCGCGGATGCTCCGCACGGAGCGTATCCGTGCGACCGCGCATCCGCGGGGCCGCGCCTGCGACTGCAAGGTCGTGGAAATGGGTACTCCGAGGCGGGGACTTCTCCATAGCACCCGCATGGGGGATCGACCTCCGCGGACCTCCACAGGCGGTGCGTATGGATATATTCGGGCCCCCAGGGGGGCAAAATGTATCCATATCCACCGCCCGCCGGGTCACCACCAGGGCGTCGGTTCCCAGGCGGTGGATATGGATAGATCACCGCCTTGTATATGCTGATGCGTTGGCTGCTCGTGACGTTCGCCGTCGTCGGCTCGTCGTCGGGGGATAAGAACATCGTCTGCGGTCCGCGCGGATTTCTCGGATCGGCGCTGAGCCCCCCTGGCGACGCCTCCAGCGCCGCTCCTGGCGCGCTCCGCGCGCCAGGGAAGGGGGGCCCAGCGCCGGTCCAATAAGTCCGCGTGGACTTCCGAAAGTGTATCTTTATGTCATTTCTAGTTCCTTTGCGTCTTGGGATCGCTCGGACGTGTGCAGTCTTATTCATTGGTCCGAAAGATCCCGTACCCGGGGCCAGCCAAGGTGAGATGGGCCGTCCGGGGGACTGGGCGCTTGCTATTGTGCCCGGTCAGCTTGCCCCACGCGCCCCAGTGCAGTATCCGCGCGTCAAGACGCAACGGCGCGCTCGATGGTTGGGTGTCAGATTGCAGCGACAAGCGCTGGTTTTTGTTAGGGACGTCTCGGGGCATCGTGGTGCGTGCGCGGTTCAGAGCCGCCCATACGTGGCGGCGCCTGTCCCAATCGATAAGAGTTGCATTTCCTCGCTACCCTGGCAACCAATGCGTCTGGGCGTGCCCTGAGGAACGACGTTGCAATGTCACGCCCCCAGGGGGCCGCAGCGGCCACGTCGTGGACGGCTCTGGAGGGCATGATATGTGCTCGAGAGCGTTTTGGGCTTGCCGCCACCTCGGCTAGGTACGGGGACCTGCCTGAAACCACCGAAGCATACCCGGACCTAGCTGGGGTGAGCTGCGGCACCCCGGCTAGGTACGGGTATGTTTTTGAGTTTTCATGGGGCAACAACCGTACCTAGCTGGGGTGATCCGCAGACGGCCGTCCAAGGGGGGCGGCCTCTGGCGACCTCGCCCGGGGCACAGATTCGCGATGTCTCTGCATCGAGCAATTCGCGATAGGGCGGTTGTCGCGCAATGACGTTCGCGCCAGAGTTGTTCGCATGCGCCCCCGAGTGCGCGTTGACTCCTCAACGCCTGGATGTGTGTCTGGGGGCGCGCCTCCGCAGTAGCTGGTCTACATCGACAACAACCAACGCAGGGTCGGGCACTCCGCCGATTCGAACGCACGTGCGATCGGTGCTAACGTCCGCCCCGAGAAGACAGCGGTCTGTAATGCTCGATCGGCTGTCGGTTCTACACTTGTGCAGCCGCCGTCAGCTGCGACGAACCGCCCCCCCGGCCCCTTGCCACCCTGTCTAGGTAAGGGTACGGGTATCTTTCGCGCTCGAGACTTATTCGGCGTGGACCATCGAGGAGCATCCTGGATCATCTTGCGAACAGGCACGCCCATGACATCGTTTATTGTCCGTCGCAGCGTGGCAGAGGCGATTCGCGCGCGCGCTCGAGTGAGCCAGGCCCGGGCAGGCACTGACTGCCCAGCGGCAAGAGGGGGAGACCGAGGCGGGGCGCGGCCGTGGAGAGTGGGAGCAGAAGAGAAGGCACGCACGAAACGACTGGAGTGGCCGTCCGAGCGGTGGCGAGACGTGGAGGCCCAGCCGATGGCCATCGCCGATCGGTCCGCCGTTCGTCGTCGTGGCCCGCGGCTGGGTCGGCCCGCGCGGCCGCACGGCGGAGGCCCGGCGGCCCATGGCGCCCAGCCCGCCGCGGAGGAGCCCGAGGCCCGCCGCGGCGGGGTGTGGCCGCTGTTTCAGGCAGATTCAGGGGCGGTGGGGGTGTCTGCTGGCTCCCCTTCAAAGAGGTGCAGACACGCGGCCACAGGAAGAAGGCGGAGGAGGAGGAGGAGGAGGGAGGAGGGAGGAGGAGGAGGAGGAGGAGGAAGAGGAGGAGGAGGAGGAGGGGGAGGAGGACAAGCTCTGACATCCGACCCCTCCCTCCCATCCCTCACCATGGCGCAGATCCCCTCTCTACTCGCTCAGTCTTATCCCGAAAGGGTACGCGATGCATTGTAGAGCACGGCGTGGCATGGCGTAGAGGAGCACCGCAAAGCGTAGCTTCAACCTAGCATTGCATTGCATGCCGTGGCGTGGCACGGGAAATGACTCCAGCGCTGCAGCGGGAGCACGAGTCGAAACGAGCGGAAGCGCGGACATGAGGCCAGCGCTGCAGCGGGAGCACGATTCGGAACGAGCGGAAACACGGAAATGAGGCCAGTGCTGCAGCGGGAGCACGATTCGGATCGAGCGGGGCCCGAAAATGAGGCCGGCGCCTCAGCGAGAGCAGCATTTTGGGAAAAAAGTGCAGGCGACAACCCAACTCCGGGGAAACCTGCGTGTAAAAAACAGTACGCGGGGGGGGGTCCGGCCACTTTCAAACCGTCATCAGGGGAAGAGGGAGAGTAGTATTCATATTGAGTAACTGTGGAGGAGGAGGAGGAGGAAAGGAAAGGAAAGGAAAGGAAAGGAAAGGAAAGGAGGAGGAGGAGGAGGAGGATGAGGAGTGAGGAGGAGGGGAGGAGGAGGGAGGAGGAAGAGGAGGAGGGAGGAGGAAGAGGAGGGAGAGGAGAGGAGGAGAAGGGAGGAGCCGGGCCCCAGGCCCCAGATGCTTGGCTGCCTCTATGCGCCCGTTTGGATACGCCACGCGTGCCGTGCTCAAAGCGTCCGTGTCAACACGTTGCGTGGTGCCTCGACGTGTTGGCCCACGCTGTGGTGAACGTAACGCGTCTACGCTGTCAGTCTGAGTGTTGAGCTCCGTAATGTTACCCTGCGTGTTGCGTGTTCCGTATCGGGGTAGCTAAGCGATGCCCCGAATTTGCATCCAAGGTAGCGCAATATGATGCTACACCGGCCCTAGATTCGAAACAACATAACGGCGTCAACATAATATTTCGCAGTTCCGCGCGGATTTCTTGGATTTGTGTTGGGGCTCTCCTGACTGCGCCTCCAGCGCCGCCCCTGGTGCGCTCCACCCGCAAGGGAGGGGACCCAGCGAGGATCCAAGACATCGGGGCGGGCCTCCCACAGTTTGTATGTATGCCGCTTTGTGTTCTTCCATAGATGGTCTCGAATATGTCTCTAGGAGCCCGAAGACGGCCTCAAGCCTCCTCTGCTGGGGCGCAAGGAGGGCCAGGGAGGAGGAAGCTGTTGCCCCCAATGTAACGCAAGATGATGCAGCTCGGCCCTAGATGGTTTCAAGTACGTCTCCAGAAGCCCGAAGAAGGCATCCAACTTCCTCTACTAGGGCGCCCAGAGGGCCCCCGAGGAGGAAGACGCGAGGAGAAGTAGGAGGAGAAGGAGGAGGAGGAGAAGGAGGAGAAGGAGGAGGGGGAGTGAAGGGTGAGGGGTGAGGGGTGAGGAGAAGTAGGATGAGAAGGAGGAGGAGGAGGAGGAGGAGGAGGAGGGGGAGGAGGAGGGGGCGGGGGCGGGGCGGCGGAAGATGAGGAGAAGCAGAAGGAGGAAGCGGAGGAAGAGGTGTGGGGGGATTCGATAGGGGGCAGGAGAAGGGAGGATGGAAGAAGAGGGGGGAGGACGAGTAAAGGAGGAGGAGGAGGCACGAGGAGGAGGAGGAAGAGGGACGAGGAGGAGGAGGAAGGATGAGCTGGACGTGGTCCAGAGTAGTCCCAAGATGCATCAGCGATTCTGTACAACACGATCCCGGCCCAAGTCCCCTCACCATGGGTCCGTGCAAGCCTTTCTTTCACTAGAGGATGCTCCCCTTTGGCTCTCCTTTGAAGGGCGAGTGCGCCATGGGCATGCCATTCAGAAGAGAGCACCGTTTTGCAAAGCAACTGGCGTGCATGTTTCGAGCGGGTACGAGAAAGCAACATGGTACGATCAGAAAGTTCAGCGAAGCGTGCCGCGAGAGCCCCATTACAAAAAAGGAGCCGACACCATTCGTGCACAGTAGACACGCCAAGCAGGGATGATGGTCTGCCAGCGGGTGCCCTGCGGAGCTTCAGTATTCCTCGACGTACCCTGACACCCGCTGGAGTTCTGGAAGTATCCTGCGAGGTACAAGGTCCATCGAACAGTGTGCCCCGAGATTTCTGACATCACGATGTCCTAATGTAGGTAGCTGCTGTAGTGTGTTACACGTTTTCACATCTGGCCGTTCGATTTGTTGAGTTCTCGGCCAGGATCCGCATTTCAAAGAGGAGCCGCCTTCCACCCGCGCATCTGCTTCATGACTGCATGCCTCTTGCCGTGAGAGCCCAATTTTGAAAAGGGTGCAGCCTCGAAGGCGAGGGCTCTGTTTTGAAAAGGGTCCGCCCCCCGACTGCAGACCTTTAAGACGAAGGTGGTCTCCGTGGAGGCAAGCGCTCCGTTTTGAGAAGGTTTTGCCCCCCCCATCTTTAGAACGTTTGGAAATTTGAACCTCCAGGATCAGTCATGGTCAGGACATCTCTGGCGAAACGCCCAGACCACCCTGCTGGCACGTCTGGTGGTGTGACATGGAGGAGGCATCCACAAGGGAATGGGACGAAGGAGAGGGACTACCAGGGCCAGAGTGCGGTCGGACCGAGGCATAATATCGAGGCCGGTTTAGGGAGGGCATTGTTTTCCGTGTTTGTTGGATGTTCTTGTGCATCTTGGGGGAGGGTAACCGAGCGCCCTGGATAATAAGTCATATTTTCCCTGACCCTTGAGAGTTGATTCTCCCCGGCCAATGCAGATTTGGCCGAGGGAGAGGGGCGGCAAGGCCGAACTTTCCTATCGCAGGGCGTAGTTGCGAATCGAAGTTGTTATTCCCCATATCCTAAGAATGGGGTTCTTGTTATTCCCCATATCCTAAGATGGGGTTCTTGTTATTGGCGGACCGCGCCGGAGGAACACACACAGGAACCCACCTCACCACTCAGGCTCAGTCACAGACTTACTCTCATCAGTCAGACTCGGCGTCACTCATCGTTACTCAGAACCAGTACTGATCAACTCATCAACTCAGTATTCAGTCATCACTCAGACTCACACATCACTCAGACTCACTCACCACTCAGACCCACTCATCTCTCCATCATACTGTCTAACTCACACTCATCATGCTCACTCGTCACTCAGACCCACTCATCATTCAGGCCAACTCGTGATCAGTCATCATTCAGACTCAGTCATCACTCAGACTTACTCATCCTTATTAGGTCTTATACGCAGATGTTGAGGGGGTTCAGCACTCTTAAGGGGGCGGCGGGGGGGTATCTCCCTCGCCCCGTTCGCGCCCAGTTTGTGGGGATGTCTCAGGCGGTTTGGCCATTCGGTTGCCCCAACATGTCCGCTTTCGGAGCAGATTTGGGGGGATGTCCCAGGCGATTCGCTGGTTTCAGCACTCCCAAGGGGGGCGGCAGGAGGTATCTCCCTCGCCCCGTTCGCGCCCATGTTGTGGGGATGTCTCAGGCGGTTTGGCCATTCGGTTGCCCCAACATGTCCGCTTTCGGAGCAGATTTGGGAGGATGTCTCAGGCGATTCGCTGGTTCCAGCACTCCCAAGGGGGGCGGCAGGGGGGTATCTCCCTCGCCCCGTTCGCGCCCAGTTTGTGGGGATGTCTCAGGCGGTTTGGCCATTCGGTTGCCCCAACATGTCCCGCTTTCGGAGCTCACGAACAGGAAGGGGAGCAGGAGGAAGAGGAGGAGGAGGAGGAGGAGGCTAGCATGAGCACGAGTAGGAGCAGGAGCAGGAAGGGGATGATGATGATGATGATGATGATGATGCTGATGATGATGATGAGGATGAGGATGAGGATGAGGATGAGGATGAGGATGAGGATGAGGATGAGGATGAGGATGAGGATGAGTAGGATGATGACGATGATGATGATGATGACGATGACGATGACGATGACGATGATGATGATGATGATGATGATGATGATGATGATACTGATACTGATACTGATACTGATACTGATGATGATGATGATGATGATGATGATGATGATGATGATGATGATGATGATGATGATGATGATGATGATGATGATGATGATGATGATGATGATTGCCTCGCTCGCTCGGAGGCCTCTGGGGGAGGAGGAGAAGGAGGAGGAGGAGGCAAGGAGGAGGAGTAGGAGGAGGACGAGTGGAGGAAGGAAGAGGAGGAGCAGGAGGAGGAGGAGGAGGAAGAGGAGGAGCAGGCGGAGGAGGAGGAGGAGGAAGAGGAGGAGCAGGAGGAGGAGGAGAAAGAGGAGGAGCGGGCGGAGGAGGAGGAGGAAGAGGAGGAGCAGGACGAGGAGGAGGAGGAAGACGACGACGACCACGACCACGACCACGACGACGACGACGACAACGACGGCGACCACGACCATGACGACTTCGACAACGACGATGACGACGACGATGGCGACGAGGACCACGAGGACGACGAGGACGACGGATCAGGCGTTCGTTGACGTTTACCTATGGAAAGAGTTACCACGAGAATGAGATGCACATATGGGGAGCCCCGCGTCGAGTAATTATTGGCAGACCGCGCCGGAGGAACACAGGAGAACAGGAACATCCTCACCTCCTCTCACTCAGACCCACGCAGACTCACTCATCACGCAGACTCGCTCATCACTCAGACTCACTCATCACTCAGACTCACTCATCACGCAGACCCACTCATCACTCAGACTCACTCATCACTCGGACTCAGTCATGACTCAGACTCATCCCTCATCACTCAGACTCACCCATCACTCAGACTCATTCCTCACTCAGACTCACTCATCACTCAGACTCACTCGT